ACTTAATAGATGCATTTTCTTTCTTTCTTTCTTTCTTTCTTTCTTTCTTTCTTTCTTTCTTTCTTTCTTTCTTTCTTTCTTTCTTCTTTCTTTTTATTTTTTGAGAGGTTTTTGCTATAGGGCACATGAGCTCGCCAGAAAGACAGAGAGAGACAGAAAGTGAGAAATCACTCCCCATGGGGGATGGCCACGCTGCAATCCCTTCTTCTCCATTCACCTCTTGGGATCTTGGGCACGCACACATATGCGCCCGGCGTGAGTTTAAGCCACTGGGTCTGGGACTCCAACCACTGACAGCTACATGGGAGTTCAGTGACATAGCCATTATGCTAACTGCTGGTCCCAGTAGATGCATTTTCATATAGTAATATGAACTATTTGAGTTAATTGATTTTTTTATTGTAGAATGATCATTTTAAATTATTTTTTTTCTTTTCTTTTTTTTTTGAGAGGTTTTTGCGATAGGACATAGGTGCTCACCAGAAAAACAGAGAGACAGAAAGTGAGAAATCATTCCCAGGGGGGATGGCCAAGCCACAATCCCTTCTCCTCCATTCTCCTCTCAGGATCCTGGGCATGCATATGCATGAACACGTGCCTGGTATGAGTTTAAGCCACTGGGTCCAGGACTCGAACCGTCGTCAATTACATGGGAATCCAGCGACATAGCCATTATGCCAACTGCTGGTCCTTTAAATTCTTTTTCAATTGTGCGAATTAATCTTGAAGAAAAAATGTACCCACAAATAAGGGCTTTAAGTTAGCTAGCACTTTTGAGAAATTTCTTTAAGAAATTATTTAACGGAAGACAAGTACTATGTGCAATTATCATTGTCATTAAAAATTGGAAGTACTCAAACCAGTCTGTAATAAGAATATGGTTAAGAATATGATCTGTCAGTTTGAAAGACTATGATGTAGCTATTAAAAATAATCATCAGCCTTGATTAATATATATGTATGTGTTTATATGTGTATATATATATATGTATTTATACATACTATACATATATGTTGCTATGGAAAATATGTATGAATCTGTACAAAAATTGGGATAGTTGCTAGAGTGGTGGGATTTTGTGGTATCTTGTTATTTTTTTCAAAAACATTTTGAATCAAAAGTTACAACAGTGTACAAATATCTTCTCTCAATTTATGGGTTTTCTCTTCACTTTAATGGTTTCTTTTTTTTTAAGAATTATTTTATTAATTTATTATTATTTTTTCACATGAGTTTTGCCAGAGAAAGACAGGGGTCGGGGGTGGGGGGGGTGAGAAACCACCAGGTCCAGGACTCGAACCATGGTTTGCCATATGGGAATTCCAGCTCCTTAACCACCATGCCACCTCCTGGCCCCAGCACTTTAATGGTTTCTTAAGCTGGCCTTTTAAAAAAATAAATGTGCTGCATCTTAAATGTACTCTGTGGGGATAAGATATTAGAAAATGTCATGATCTGAGAGAAAAAGAGTAGTTGAAAACCAAAAAGAGGAGAGTTGTTCTCCTAGAACTACTTGATTAGAATGTAAACCTCAGAGGGAAGTTATTTTTTTATTTTTTTTAAATAAAGTGTATTAATTATAGTTAGACAAATTATAAGTATCTAATAATAGTTTAGCAAGTTAATATTAAAAATTATTATGTAGAGACACTCTCCTTTGTAAATGGCATAATATAGTGGCTGGGAGACAGGTGACCTGATGATTTTTTTTGCTTAGACTCCATTATTTGGTAGCATTATGATCTTAAACACTCTGGTCAAGTTTCTTTATTCAAAACTAAAATTATATGATGCTAATTATTAGGACTTTAGCCAATTAAATCAGCTAACAAACATGGAGGGAGTGGCCAAGTGGAATTAGCTCAGTAATTTTAAAAGTGAAAAACAATTTTTTTTATTGTGATAAGAACATTTAATGTGAGAGCTCCCTCTTAGCAAATTTTCAGATGCACACTACAGTATTGTTAACTTTAAGCACAATGTTGTTCATCATATCTCTAGACAATTTTTATCTTGTATAACTGAAATGGTGTATTCATTAAACATCTTGCAATTTGTCCCTCTCCCCCACTCCTACTAACCATTATTCTACTCTCTGCTTCTATGAGTTTGACTATTTAAGATACCTGATATAAATATTTGTATTTGTATAAACTTTATATAGGTAGTCACAGTAAGAGTTTTAAAGAATTAGTAAGTTCCCAAAGAAAAAAGGGAGAGGGAGAGCACTGGAAGGACAGAGGACTATTTTAGATACCTGGTACAAGTATTTGCACTATTATCTTTTTATCTTTTTGTAACTAGTTTATTTCACTTGACATAACATCCTCTAGGTTCATTACTGTCGTAGCATATGGTAGGATTTCTTACTTTTTAAAGACTGGGTAAGATTCTATTGTATGTACGTGTCACATTTTGTTTATTTACTTATCTGTTCATGGGCATTTAGGTTGCTTCCATTTCTTGATTATTGTGAATAATGCTGTAATAAATACCAGTATGAAAATCCCTCTTTGAGATCTTGTTTTTAATCCTTCCTGATGTATATCAAGAAAAGAGATTACTGGGTCATGTGGTAATTCTAGTTTTAATTTTTTTAAGAACCACTGTATTAAGAACCAGCTTCACCATTTTACATTCCCACCAACAGTGTGTAACAGTTTTAGTTTCTCCACATTCTAACCAATACTTATTTTCTCTTTGTTTTTGGTAAAATTGTGAGGTGATATCCTATTATGGCTTTTATTGGTATTTCCCTACTGATTAGTGTTGTAGGGTTTCTTTTCATATGCTTATTGGTCTTTTATAGAAGTATTTTTTGAGAAATCTCTATTCCACTCTTTTTTATTTATTTATAGTTTCTGAGTAGTAGGAATTATCTATGCAGTCTGCATATGAATCTCTTATGAGATATATAATATACACATATTTTTCTGCCATTCAATAGGTTGCCTTTTTACTCTTTTGATTTCTTCCTTCATTGTACAGAAGTTTTTAAGTTTAATGTAGTCCCATTTGTCTATTTTCATTTTTGTTGTTTGTGCTTTTGATGACATATCTGAGGAATTATTACCAAATCCTGTGTCATGAAGCTTTCCCCTTTGTTTTATCTACCAGTTTTTTGTTTTGTTCTCTTTTTAATGTATAGGTCTTCAATTCCCTTTGATTTATCTTTTGTGTATAATGTAAGGTAAGGATCCAACTTCATTCTTTTGTATCAGGATATACAGTTTTTAAATACCACATGTTGAAGAAACTATCCTTTTCCCTTGGCATCCTGACTGAAGATCATTTGGCCATATACGTCAGAGTTTATTTCTTTGCTCTCTATTCTGTTCCTTTGATCTATATGTCACTTTTATGCCAGTGACATACTTTTTTGTTATGGTTTCTTCTTTTTCTAGAGAGATTTTTGCTATAGGGCACATGTGCTCACCAGAGAGACGGACTCAGAAAGCAAAATATCACTCTCCAAGGGAGATGGCCACGCCACAATTCTTTCTCCTCCATTTCCTCTCAGGGTTTTGGGCATGCACGCACACACAACCAGTGTGAGTTTTAAGCCACCAAGTTTGGGACTCAAACTGTGGTCAACTATGTGGGAGTTCAGAAATGTAAACTTTTTACCATCTGCTGGTCCCTTGGTTATGGTATCTTTATAATAGGTGTTGAAATCAGGAAGTGTGAGGCTGACAGCTTTGTTGTTTCTTGACTGTTTTGGTTATTCAGTTTCCTTTGAGATTTCATATAGGTTTTAAGACATTATTTCTATTTCTGCAACAACGACAAAAAAATGCCATCAGAATTTTGATAGGAATTATGTTGTATCTATATGTCACGTTAAGTAGTACGGACATTGTAATAGTATTAAATCTTCCAATACATGAAGACAGATTGTCTTTCCACTAATTTGTGTCTTCTTTAGTTTCTTTAGGAAATGTCTTATATAATATTAATATTATACAAGTCTTTCATCTCTTCAGTTAAGCTTATTACTATATTAAGCTTATTACTATGTGTTGTATCCTTTTGATCCTGTTGTAAGTGGTATTATATAACTTCATGTTTTGTGTTTTATTTCTATTTCATATAGTCAGTGTATACAGTTGTCTCAGTCCATTCTGAGTGACTATAACAAAATACCATAGACTAGGTAATTTTAAAATAATAGAAATTTATTGGGTTATCAGAAAGTTAATGACATATTTTTCTATGGAAAAATGCATCATGACTCTTTAGACAGCACGCTATTTCTCACAGTTAGGGAGGCTGAGGGGTCCAAGAGCAAGATGCTAGTAGATTCAGTGTCTAATATGGACTTGCTCTGTTTCTAAAATGATAGCTTGTTGCTATATCCTCTGAAGGGAACTAATGCCATATCCTTATATGGGAGAAGGGGAAAGAGCAAAAGAGACTATTAGACTATTTCCTTCAACTTCTTTTATATGAACACCAATCTCATTCATGAGGATGGAGTGTTCATGATTTAACCACTTTCCCAAAGACCCCACCTTCATGCAAATTTTGGTGTGACACATACAATCAAACCATAGCAAAATGTCTAATATTTGCTTGAATTTTCATTTATTTTGGCTGATAAGATTACATAAAGCAACGGAATCATTTTTATGGACTGTTATAGTTTTGGAGGTCAGTAATACAGTTCCATGGTATGTATTATTATACATTGTGTCACAAATCACAAAAGGTGTTTGTGAAATGGTTTTGTTCTCTGAGTCAAAAGTTTTTAATTACCTGAATTACATTCTTTCTTTGCCTGGGTGTTTCTTAGTTTGCTGGACCTGACAATCTCTGTTCTCTTTCTTAGGGTACATCAAAGAAGGGTTCCTGGCTGTGCAGCATTCTGTAGATAAGGCCATCATGACATACCATAATGACATAACTGCAGAAAAAGTGTTTGAAAATACCAGTATTTTTGTTCAGAGATTTCCATACCCTGCTTATTATCATGACAAATTTATATGGGAATTTTCAACTTTTTTTTATTTTTTAGCTTTACTTATATTTTATCAAAATTACCTTCCTCTCGTCAAGACCATTGTGACAGAAAAGGAAAACAAATTAAAGGTAATCTCATGTTCTTTGTTACATTTTGGGCCTGTGGAATGATTTTTCTGGAAAGTCGTATTACTTCTATACGTTGGCACTGGTGAATGGGTATGCTGCAATAGCAATGTAAAAATAGACTGGCTACAGTGTGATACTGTTCGCTAATGCGCAGGAAATACGAGGTAACTTATCAATATTAGTTTTATTTTCTTTGTCCTTTGTGTGCAGCATATGTGAACTAATGTAAGTGCTGCTGCGTTTCGCTCTCCCATGTGTTTTATTTACTTCTTTCCCTCCATTGTGGTAATGCTGTTTTTCTTGTTCAAGCTCTTATTTATTTTTCACTACCAAATAGCTATTTCAGAAGTCTTCTCACTGGTTTTCTTAACCTCTGCCTCTTCTTAGTTTCATTTAATATTAAACCCTTTTCCTTTAGCTAAAATGATTCATTTAAAGCATTTTTATTTTATTATGTTTTATCTGACTGGATTGTCTTTCTCTTGTCTAACTGGTTAGCAATCTCTGAAATCAATTTAACAGTTTTTCTTTTTGCATCTAGATCATATAACAAAATTAAATCAGGTATTCTAAATTATTATTTAGTTTTTCATTTTATTTTTAAATTTTTTGTTTGAAATGTAAAATAATGAGTATAAAAATACACATATCTATGTATATAGAATATTGAATTATTAGTCATAAGCATGCCTGTATAATCACATGACGGTGAAGAAGTTGGATTGGTTCTATGGCTCAGTGGTTAGGGCAGCCAGATCCCACATGGCTGACTGCATGGCTGGAGCCCTGAAAGCAGTGGCTTGAGAAATATGCCAGGCATGCCCAAAATCCAGAAGGGAGAGAAGGATGGAGGAGAGGGGATAGCTATTCTCCATGGGAGTGCTTTCTCCTCTTCTCTCTGTCTCTCTCTGGCAAGCACACCTGCCCTCTAGCAGAAAATTTTAAAAAAATATATAAGAAGGAAAGAAAAAAGAAGGAAAAAAAAAAGAAATGAAAAAAAAATGTTCATTGGTAAGAGCACTGAGGCACACAACTGACATTCTGCTGTAAGTGGTGGAGTCAGGATTCAAATCAGGTCTGTCTCCAATGTGTGCTTGTGTTAAATTAAATCAAATTTGGCCCAAAGCTGCTTTCATTACAGCATACTGTAATCTAACTTGAACGTATATTCTTGTAACAAATAGCCAAGTCTTGACCAATCATAGCAGCTGTGTGTTCAGGCAGTTATGTGTTGTAGACTTGCCAAAACATGTCTATGTAAGGCAAATGCTGAGTTGTAGACAATCAAGTTGTTTTTGTAGACCACTTCCTTTTTCTGTCTATACATACTACGTGCTGATATTGCTGGGTGGAACTTCCTGAACCTTCTTGGCTCAAGGTGCCACACAATTCATGAATTATTTCTTTGCTTGAATAAACGTTTCTAAATTTAATTTGTGCGATTTTCCTTTTTCACTGGTAACCAAGGAAAATTGAATTAAAAAACAGATAGAGGTAGCGTGACAGAGCAGGAAGAGAAAGAACAGGGAGTTTTGCTGCTATGTAATTTTGTAGAAGTGGCTCACCCCTTCTGGGTCTAGTTTTCTAATTTGTAAAATTAGAAGAGGTTTGGTATAGATTAGCTTAGTAGGATGAACATGGTCATAGACAATACAATGAATGCTCATGGCTGTGTGACAATAAAGCTTTGTTTACAAAAATATGAGATAGGTTGGATAGGCTCATGGGCTATAGTTTGTCGGTTCCCACTCTGATCTATAATTGAGGTAAAGCTTATTTACTTTCTTCTTTTATTACTTCCCAGAGATAGAATATAGCAAAAGGAAAGGTGCGCTTACCTTTTGGGTTTTGAATTTTTATGTGTTTCTTGTATCTGATAAGATATTAGGGAAAAGATTCCTGAACTCAAAATTCTGTGTTGGAACACCTCTATCACTCACTAGGTGAATGAGTTTGATTAGGTCTCTTGACAATTCTAAGCCTTGATTTTTTCCCTTGTAAAATGGAAATCATAATACTTAATCAATGTCGGTTGTTGTTGTGTAAATTAGATGATATTTGTGAATGCTTTTTGAAAACTTACAAAATATTTTTTATAATATTTTGTGTTAACTTTCCCACAGGAGTTCCAGCTCATGACAGGACTCAATAATTTTATGCTCTGGGTTTCATACTTTGTTACATACTTTTTGTTATACCTATTTGTCATCTGCTTACTATGTGCAGTTTTGTTTCTCAAGGCAAGTATCTATTTGTTTCTCAAGGCAAGTATCTACAGCTAAACTTTGAGAGGGATAAAGTGATCCTGGTATGGGCTGAATGAGTAACTTGGATAAGAGTAAATGTGTTTTTCACTGTTATTGTGGAAATTCAGAAGCTGCTGAGTCTACCAGTAAACAAAGCAATAGACCTAGATGGGTGGGCCCTCTGTGCAAAAAGAATTATTTAGCCAATGTTCCTTCTCACTGAGCAGTGTGACCTCTCTCATTCAATCCAGTCAAAGTTTTGAGATTTTTTTTTTCCTTCATCTCTCTTGGTTTTCTATAACACTACTTCAGATGTAACTAAACGTGCTTCCTGATTATTTTGCTAGATTGTAAATGAGAAAGTCTTAGAACACAGTGACCCGATACTCGTCGCCATCTTTTTTCTGTGTTTTGCCATCTCCTTAGTATCTTTTGGCTTTATGATTACAACATTCTTCAGTAAAGGTGAGTCTAAGACTCCTTCCATGAAAGATTCTGTGTTTAATTGACTGAAGGAGGGGGTCTACTTAGAAGCTCCTTCTGAAGCTTCTACTTCCTATATAGCCTCTACTTATGTCCTAAAGATGACATAAATCATATACATGTGAAATAGTTTGAGAGAAAATGGAAAGATACATAAAAATTAATATGGCATAGGATACATTTGAAAAGAGGATAAAAACTAAGATAGGATCATATGGGGTAGGACATTAAGATGGATCACATGTAAACATTCATTCATTCATGTACTCATTGAAGTCTTGGTATCACTTACTATTTGTCTGGAACAGTGTCAAATATAACATATACAGAGAGTTTTTTTCCTTGCCTTTTGTGTCTTACATGTAAAGAGGATGTGTAGCTAGGTAAATTCAGACTGTATTAGTTGAGGAATTTGTAGAGATACTTCACTAGTATCATTGTCTATTATCACTTATTAAAAAAATAAAATTCCCTTTTTTTTTTTTTTTTTTTTTTTTAGATCTTTGCCATAGGTCCTGTGCTCTGAGAGAGAGGGAAAATGAGATCATTCTCTGTGGGGGATGACCATGACCATGCCACAATCCCTGCCCTCCATTTTTCTCTTTTGATTTTGATTTTGGACACACACACACACACACACATACATATGTGTGACTGGTGTGATTTTCAGATTGCTGGGTCCTAGACTTGAACCATGTAGTTGGCCATGTGGGATCTAGTGTCTTAATCACCATATGCTCTGCTAGTCCTTATAGCTTTCTTATGTGCTAATCAATTAGAATATTAACTTCTCTCAATCATTTAGGGCACAAGTACCATAAGACAACTTCTAAAGCAAGTTTATATTTCATACTTATTTTTATTGCTTTCAGCACTAACACTGCTATCAATTGTTGACTCTTACAAATTAGAGTCATACCTTCTACCTACCTTACAATACAGTAAAACTATGGGTAGAGAATGTTATTATGCCAAAGTAACACTGAAAGTGATATGCTGAAAAGCCATGCAAAGTAGGTAAATATCATTGGATGATCTATCTGGCTAAAACAACTGTGATAGTTATGAAATATTTTAAAAAATCTTTTCGGTTTATAAACACTGGTGGAGTGGCTTGGTCCAAGTATACATAGTCATAGCACCTAAGTGGGAGATGGTTGAAAGCCAAAGCTGGCTTTTGTCTTGGAATTTTCAGCTGAACACCAGAAATTCTGAGGTTTTCTTTTGACAGAATTCAGGGAGCCAAGATAAGCCTAGATCCTGATGAAGGATATTTAAGATGACACCTCAAAGAAAAGTAGGATCTCAAAGAACTACCCTTATTTTAATAGTTAAAGGTGAATAAATGGGCCCCACAGAAGAAATAGCAATTTCTTGCCTTACTTGAAATTCACCAAAATATTAAGTGTTTTATGTGAGAAGGACATTAGTGATACAATCATCAAATCAAAATTCTAAGTTATAGCAAAATACTGGTGAATTGATATAAAATTTTGTAAATTATTTAAATGCTTTATTCTCCTAGCCATCTACTTGCATAGCTAAAGTGTTTTGTTTGTTGTGAGTCCTATTTTAATTGTCTTTTTTTGACTAAATAATAAAACTACCTGTATTCTCTATGGAAAAACCTTTATATGAATTGGTATTATCCTATTATTTTTCAATAGATGCCTTTTATATTGATTTATGTTATGAAATATATCATAAATGTGAGAATATGTACAATTAATAATAATAAAATAAATGTTAATGTTCTCAAAAACACATGAGAATAAATGGAATTTCCTAGGACCCAAGGAAAGTTGCAAATGTTTCTCCTATTCTGAAGGTTGTCTCTTCATTATATTTATTGTTTGCTGTGCAGAAGCTTTTTAGTTTGAGATAATCCCACTTGTCTGTTTTTGGATTTATGCTATGGGGGTCTCATTTAAGAAATCTGTCTAAAGCAATATGTTCAAGTATTTCCTCTGTGTTTTCCACAGGTTACTATAGTTTGATGCTTTATATTTTGAACTTTGATCCATTTTTAGTTGGTTTTCATTAATGGTGAGAGATAACGGTCTCTCATTTTTCTGTATGTCCAGTTTTTCCAGCACCATTTGCTAAAAAGACTTATTTTCTCCACTGAGTTGTCTCATGCTATTTGTCAAAAATTGATTTGTTGTATGTTTTGGGGTTTATTTCTGTTCTGTTCCATTGATCTGTGTGTCTGTGTTTGTGTGAGTACCATGCTGTTTTGATTATCACAGCTTTGTAATGTATTTGGAGGTCAGGTTGTGAGATACCCCTTACTTTACTCTTTTTGAATAGTATTGCTTTGGTGACACAAGGCCTTTTATAATTCCAGATAAATTTTATGATTCTTTCTTTCTGTGAAGAATGTCACTGGTAATTTGATCAGAATCACATTGAGTCTGTAAATTAATTTGGGTAAAATTGACATTTTGATTATATTAAAATCCGTTGTCTGCCATTCTCCTCTTGAGATTTTGGGCATGCAAGCACATGTGTGCAGTATGAGTTTTAAACCACTGACTCCAGGACCCAACTTTGGTTGACTACATGGAAGCCCAGCAATGTAACCATAATACTATCTGCTGATTCAAAAATGGTGTTGATTTTTGTATATTAATTTTGTAAACTGCCACTTTACTGAATTTATTTATCACTTCTAGGAGTTTGTTCATGGTTCTTTTGGGTGTTCTATGTAATCATGTCATCTGTAGATAAGGACCATTTGCTTCTTCTTTTCCTATTTGAATGCCTTTTATTTGACTCTCTTGTCTGATTGCATTGGCTAGAACTTTCAGCATTATGTTGAAAAGAAGTAGAGAAAGAGGGCAGCCTTACCTTCTTCCATTTTTTAGTGGAACATTATTCAGTATGTTGTTACAGTGGATTTATCATATATGGCTTTTGCTGTGTTGAGAGCTATTCCTTCTTAATCTATTTTGCTTAGGGTTTTAATTATAAAAGAAAGTTGCATTTTATTAAATGTTTATTCTGCACCAATTAATATGATCATATGGTTTTTATCTTTCCTTCTGTTAATGTAATATATTACATTTATTGTTTTGTGTATGTTGAACTACTCTTGCATCCCTGAGATAAAGCCTGCATGTTACTGAGCAGCTTTAATAGCAGCAACACATCCTCCAGGACCAAAAACTATGGCTGTTACTTCAGCATCAATCGGCCAATCTGCATAAGTTCTCAGTTGCACTGCAGAAACTCCCTGTTGGGCATGAGATATTTGACTGAAATGGCCTTTCTTGGCCAAGGAACAGTACAGATGACTCCAGCTCTGCCTTTTGTCCCAATACTTTTCTTTCTTGCTAATGCTTTTACCTCTGCAGAAAGGCTCCACTACTTTGCCAAGGTCGCCTGCCTGAATTCCCTCTTTTTAAAAGAACACAAGTCAGTTTGAATGAAGGCTAAACCTAATGACTTCATTTTAATCACTTCTTTGAGGCCCTATCTCCAAATACAGTCACATGCTGATGTACCAGGGTTAGAGCTTTAACATGTGAATTTGGGGAGAATATGGGTTAGCCCATAAAACCAAGTATTCGTAGTAAATTTTAATATAATGCAAAATGTCGTATATGGAAAGAAAAGTCTCTGGATGATCATTGGTTTTTTTTCTAAAAAGAAGAATTTCTTTTACTGTCGTCAATCATTTAGGTTAGGGACACTAGCATTCTCAGATAATCCTAATCCAAAAAAAATTTGGGATGATTTAAAGATGATCAATAGGTTGGCGTCCTGGTCTTGTATTTAGGGAAACTGGATCACACATAGCTGACTGTGCTGTTGGAATCTCTGACCACTGGTTTGAAAAACATGTAGGGTACATGTTGGTGCATGGCACAAATCCTGACAGAGTGGAGAAATGGAAGAAGAGGGATTGCAGCATAGTTCTGCCCCACTGGGGAGTGCTTTCTCCCCTCTACCTCTCTGTCTGTCTGTCTAGATGAGTACATATGCCCCCTGGCAAACTGAATTAATTCATATGATCTAGTTTTGATATCTTCTAAACGTGGCCTTTCTAGGTCCTAACTAAAAGTTTGGGTTATTAATCATGGCTTCTTTCCTTTAGCACGTCTCAAGCTCAAGTTTTATTTCCCTAAGCCCCTTGACCCTATTATAAGTTCTACAATGCTTTAAACATACTTAAAATAATTTGTCTAAAATGTTTGTGTTCTCATTGATCTGAAATAATGCAGTTGCTATGATATATTACACCTTAGACCAGTCATTTCTTTATAATGTTGCTTTGTCTATGTATTTTAGGGATTCTTTTATAAAGTATCATAAATAATTTTGAAGAATCATAAATAAAGCTAGAAGTACTTATAAAAATACCATCAAGTTTTTCAGTTTTTGTTAACCCAAATCCCAAAATAAAACAGTAGAGGTATATTCATATAATGTGAATAGTGGTATTGTATATTTATTGCTTGTTAGGCTGAATAGTCATAAATAAAAAAGAAACTGTTTATAAATATAAGGCTAAATCCTTCTTTAAATGTATGAATATTTACAATAATTGAATAAGAAGGAATATAAATGCCAGAAAAGTTTCTTTTTTTTACCATTCATTCAAAAAAGTATTTATCAAGCACCCACTCTGTTTTAGGCCTGGTGCTAACCACTAGTTAGTGATACAGTGGTGAACAAAACAGTTTCTCTTCTGTAGTGCTTTCATTTATAGTAAAATGAGGATATTTCTATTTCAAGTTTTGTACCTTGTGTAAACTGACTGTATATTGTCCTTCTTACTTTCAGCTTCTATGGCTATTGCTATTGGGGGTCTCCTCTTTTTTCTCTCCTTCTTTCCGTATTTAATCGTCGTTCTCAGGTATGAAGTAATGAGCCTTACAGAGAAACTGGCTTCCTGTCTCATTTCAATTATTGCACTTGGTATAGGGAGTGATTTAATATGCAAGATGGAATTGAAGGGTAAGTCTTTCCTTTGTAAAAAATGCCTTTGGTGATTTTATTTCCAGAAAAAAAAATGCAGGGGATGTTGGGTTAATAGTAAGGCAGTGAGGGTTGATTTTTTGCTTTTAAACTGTTTTTCTTGGATTATAGTATTTCTTTACCATAAAATTATGTATATTCACTATATGTATATATATACTACATACACAGATATACATGCAAATATGTACATGTAAATGTAAAAAATATACATATGATAGGTTTTCAAAAGTTTGTGGAAAATGTGTGTCATGAGAAAACTATGTAGATTTCAGAATATTTTTTGCACCAAAATAAAATCATACTTTAATTTCATTTTCCCACAAATGTTTGAAGTTTCCTTGTATGTATGCATGTGTTTTATCTCTATCAGTGGTCTTATCTGGGGAGTCGTTTGCCATGCAGGGGACAATCACAGTGTGGAGATTTTTAATTGTCATGACCGAGCAGTGCTACTTCTATTAAATGGGTAGAGGCTATTATATATCCTAGAAAGTATGGGACAACAAGATACAAATTATCCAGCTCTAAATGTTAGTAGTGACAAAGTGACGAGGTTGAGACACCCTGGTGCTACTGCTTCATATGAAATAATCCTGTAGGTATAATTTCAACCCAACATAAAGGGCTGCTCTTCTCTGTTTTCCCTCATTCCACATTTTTTTTTTTTTACTTTCTTTTTTTTGGGGGGGAGAGGTTTTTGGTATAGAGTGCATGCGCTCGCCAGAAAGAGAGAGAGACAGAGAGATAGAAAGCGAGAAATCACCCTCCAGGGGGGATGGCCATGCCGTAATCCCTTCTCCTCCATTCTCTTCTCGGGGTCTTGGACACGCACGCACACGTGCCTGACGTGAGTTTAAGCCACCTGGTCCGGGACTCAATCTGTGGTCGACAACATGGGAGTACAGTGACGGCCATTATGCCAACTGCTGGTCCCCTTATTCCACTTTTTATCTTCTTTTCCAACCATGAGAAACCTGGCTGTATATTTATTCACTTGCTTAGTTAAGTAATACTCAGAATAGTTACAGCACTGCTTATCTGTGTCACTGTGTAAGAAACATATTGAGTATGAACCGTATTTTTGTTGTTGATGAATATATTTCCAAATTCATATGTCTTCCTGGTTAGTTCAGTGAAGATTAGCATGAGAGAGAATGAAAGGATAGGACTGCTATCTCAACCTATAGATCTGTTTACTGCTTTAAGACTTATTTAGACTTTTTTTTATTGTTTTTTGTTTGTCACTGTTGACTTCCTCCTGGGTTTGACTATAGGAAGAGGCTCCTTATGTCATTTATTTCATTTGCCTCCTGACAATTTTAGTTTAAAGGTATACATCCATAACAAATAGACAGTACCAGTTTCCAGAAATACCAGTGCATTTTTTCACATTAATTCATTAATTATTAAGCAGCAGGGTAATTTTGTTCTAGTCATAGTGGGCATTGAACTCTCTCCTCTTATATTTCAGGGCTTGGTGCTAAGTGGAATAACTTCCTTTCACCAGTGAGCCCAGATGATAACATAACTCTGGCCCATGTTACAGGGATGTTTTTATTTGATGCTTTCTTGTACTGCCTTGTAACCTGGTATGTAGAAGCTGTCTTTCCAGGGAAGTATGGTGTGCCCAAACCATGGTATTTCTTCCTGCAGGTAAGTTCTAATGCTTCTGTTACTGAGAGATCGTCAGTCCTTATGTACCTCGTTTGCAGAAGTGTACACTTCATTACCTCTAACAACCTCCCCATGGTGCCTCACCCCTACCGTACTAATATGTAGCCATTGTAAGTTAACTAGTGTTAGATATAATAGAGTCAAATGGTTTTCTGCAAAAGAAATCCCATATGCATAAATGTGTGTGTGGTCTTCAGATCCTACTGAGTAGGGAATAAATTATGTCTATCTTGTCTATCATCATCCGCTTTCTTTCCACTATTAGCCTAGGTTACTTAAAACCATCACATTAGAGTGAGGAGCATCTGCATATTGGCCTCTACTTTAAAAAATTTTCTTCTTTTTCTTTTTTTCCATTAGACAGAGCATGAAACCCAACAGGTTTTCATGCTCCAACTTATTCCCAGCCTGCCAGCCCAGCTCATAAGCCCTCAGATACCTGGTTATCACATGGAAGTCTTGGGATACAAACCAAGGACCTTGCCATTCTGGTCTAGTGCTATATTAATAGCATCACAGAGGGTTGTGCTACTGGTGCACCACTGACTGGCCCTTAGACTTAATTTTTAATCTTTTTTTTTTTGGAGATGTTTTGCTATAGGGTGCGTGCGCTTGCCAGACAGAGAGAGACAGAGAGACAGAAAGTGATAAATCACCCCCCAGGGGGATGGCCCCCCCGCAGTCCCTTCTTCTCCATTCTCCTCTTGGGATCTTGAGCACACATGCACACGTGCCCAGCGTGAGTTTTAAGCCACCAGGTCTGGGATGCGAACCACGGTCGACTACATGAGAGTCCAGCGACCTAGCCATTACGCTAACTGCTGGTCCCAATTTTTAATTTCTCTATCATTCTGTGGTCCAAAGCAGTGGTATCCAAACTTTTTAGTTTCAGGACTCCTTTATACTCTTTTTTTTTTTTTTTAAAGATTTACTTATTGATTGATTGATTTAATTCCATTTGTTATTATTATTTCTTTAATTTGGCCAGAGAGAGAAGGGAAAAGTGAGAAAACAAGTCATCAGGTCTGGGACTTGAACCACAATTGGCCATGTGGGAATCCAGCGTCTTTAACCATCACATCACCTCCCAGCCCCCTCCTTTACACTCTTAAAGTTTACTGAATGTCTAAATGAGCTTTGGTTAATGTGATTTATGTCTACCAGTATTTACCAGATTAGCAGTTAAAACTGATACCATTTTAAATACTAATTTATTTTAAAATATCACTAATATATTGAGCAGGGATATACAGTGCAAGTCTTTCAGAATCTAACTTACTGACTTAGCATTAAACCTTTTATGTGCAGCTACTTCAAATCAAATGATAGGGTCTCATTGTTCCTTATGGCTGAGTAGTCTTCCATAGTATACATGTGCCATATTTTTCCAATCCAGTCATCAGTTCTTGGACATTTAGTTTGGTTCCATGTCTTAACAATTGTGAATAATGTTGCAGTAACATAGATATGCAAGTGTCTCTCCAACCGAGTATTTTCCTAGCCTTTGAGTAAATACCAAGGAATGGGAATGCTAGGGTGTATGGCAGCTCTGTTCATAGGTTTTTGAGGAACCTCCATATTGTTTTCTACAGTGGTTGTGTTCAGTTACATTCCCACCAACAGAGTAAGAGGATTTTTCTATTCACCACAGGTTCTCCAGCACTTGTTCTTTATTTTTTTGATCATAGCCATTCTCTCTGGGGTTAAATGGTATCACAATGTGGTTTTGATTTGCATTTCCCTTATGATAAGAGATGATGAGTATTTTTGTACATCTGCACTCTATGGCAGAAATGAAAAAAAACCTAAAGAGGTAGGAAGGGTAAGTGTAGATATTGTAGACTGTAAGGAAGGGAAGTGAATGGTAGAAGGTGGGCCATAGAGGCAAAGGGAAGACTTAACAGACAAAGGAATGAAAAGTTTTCTGTTGAAAATGATGTATATTAGAATATCTTTAATTTGATTTTCATCTATTACATATATGCTTTGGAAAACCACATTGTGCACTATAGACATGTGCAATTATGGAATGTAACTAATTTTTAAAAATCACCAATAAATCCATTACATGTTGAACTATATAACATTATTGCAAAAGTATTTTTCAAATTAAAAAAATTAGCAAGGAGATACATTTTACATTTTAGTAAATATCTTTCATGTCTGCTTAATAGAAGACAACTCATTCCTCATATCTGGTTCTGTTCTCTATCTGTAGCATTATGTAGTTTTGGTTAAAATATATAAAGAACAGATGACCTCACATGGATATATACTTGATGTAGTTTTGGTTAAAATATATAAAGAACAGTTTACCTTACATGGATATATACTTAAAAAAAGGAAGGGTATCTTGGTAGCCTTTTCAGTAAATCTGGATGTTCTTTGGTATGTTACCAAAACTCAACTAATGATAGTTTACTGACAATTGAAGTTTGAAATCTGAAATAAAATTAGTGGACATTTCTTAATTTATTACAATGATATCCATGGGTTTATCTTGCCATTTGACTAGATCTTTAACAATTGTCAACTTGAAATAAAGAGGTATGACCCAAACTCAACAAACAGATTATAGTTTATTCAAGACAGAAGCATGAGGAGGACTACCTGGGGGCAAGGAAATCAAGCACGGACAAGCTGTAGCCAGTGCTCCTGAATGGTAGCATTGGGTGTTTTACCTCATTTTGATAGGGAAAGGGGGGAAGAAGGAAGGTATTGCAAAAGTGCACTTTTCCCTAAGAACCCATACTGATTTACAAAAATTGCACAAGTTTCTGACTTACTTTCCGATGTTTCATACATCACATATTCTAGTAACATAGCTATAGGCTAGATGTTGGGTTACAGTGAACAATATGCAGTTTGTGGTAACTTAGGGTAGCTTTGTTATAGTGCCAGTGGCTTAGGAAATTGTTAAGATGTCCTTGAGCAATCACTTCAGATAGATGTGCAGGGGATGAAACCGAAACTCCATGTACGTATCTTTTAGGGCCAGTTTTAGCAGATCTCATTTTTTGGACTGCTTTGAACCATTTTCATGAAAATAATTTTGACATCATTGATCCATTGAAAGGGTCTTGGGTTCTGCAGGGATCTTTAGACTATACATCTAAATAAAGGGACCAGACTCAGAGCAATGTGTGCTTTTCACTCTTTGTCCCCCTCCACCCCACCCTACCCCCAAACACACAAGGCACGTGCACTTGCCAGAGAGAGACAGAAAGAGGGAGAGAGGGAAAGGGATAAATCATCTCCCAAGGGGGATGGCCATGCTACAATTCCTTCTCTTCCATTCTCCTCTTGGAATTTTGGACATGCACTTGTATGTGCCCAGTATGATTTTTAAGTCACTGGATCTAGGACGTAAAACACGGTTGGCCATGTGGGAGTCCAGCACCTTAACCACGACACCGCCTGCTGGCCCCCCACTGTGCCATTTTGAGAGGATTTTATTTTGTTTCTCTTCTTGGACAGTGACAGTTGAAACAGCAATTAGCTATGTGGTTATACCATAGGAATTTATTTTATAAGGCGTTTGTTTTGAAATTTAGTTTCAAATTATCTGCTGTAACCCATCTCAATACCAGAATGAAATGAGCCAGAGTTTGCAAGTTTTCAGAGTATTTTACTTTTCAGTAACATCATAATGATTATAATTTTGTTGTTTTAGAAATCCTACTGGCTTGGGGAGCCAACAACAACGAAAAGAGAACAAAGCCCATCTGTTTTACTGCAAACTGATTTTTTTGAAGCTGAACCTGTTGGTTTGGAGGCTGGCATCAAGATCCAACACTTGTATAAGGTACTGTTTTACAAGTCTCTGTTTTTCAGTAGGACCAAATGTTAATTACAATGTATATTAAATGTCACTGACAATACCTACATCGTGCTAGTTAAATATTGTCATCAGCTTGGGACCAGCAGTTAGCGTAATGGCTATGTCCCTGGACTCCCACGTAGGCAACCGCGGTTCACGTCCTGGACCCGGTGGCTTAAAACTCTCGCCGGGCACGTGTGCGTGCATGCCCAAGATCCCAAGAGGAGAATGGAGGAGAAGGGATTGCGGCGTGCCCATCCCCCCTGGGGGGTGATTTCTCGCTTTCTGTCTCTCTGTCTCTCTCTGTCTGTCTGGCAAGCGCACGCGTACTATAGCAAAAAACCCTCTAAAAAAAAATGTATATATATATTGCCATCAGCTTGTTGACTCTTTTTGATAAGATAAAAATGGAATATATGCAAATAAACAGATATGTGTTTTCTCTGTCCTTTCTTCAGAATAGAATCTAGCCTTGTATAGATGATAATAGTGTCTTCTACCGTATTGCCATTATAAGAGGTAGAATCTATTTGGAACTGTGATTGTCAATGTTTATAATTAATTTCTGTTCAAATTGCATTTTTGTTTATTTTACAAGCTATGCATTAGAATGCACGCTTATCTGTCCAAGTGTTTGTAGGAAGCTATTAGATATTTCATTTTGTGTGGATAAACTGTAGGCATGTATTAGTCAGATAACCCATATATCTGCTGGCATTCTCTTGCCAGTTAAGAAGGCACTTAAGCTTATATTGAGCCTTTAGTGTACAATTTATGGAAATTAAATCCCTTTTTATGGGACCAGCAGGTGGCGTAATGGCTATGTCGCTGGACTCCCATGTAGTCAACCGTGGTTCAAGTCCCGGACCTGGTGGTTTAAAAACTCATGCTAGGCACATGTGCATGTGTGCCCAAGATCCCGAGAAGAAAATGGAAGAGAAGGGATTGCAGCATGGCCATCCCACCAGGGGGGTGATTTCTCGCTTTCTGTCTCTCTGTCTCTCTCTGTCTTTCTGGTGAGTGCATGCACCCCATTTAACAAAAACCTCTTTTAAAAAAATCACTTTTGAACCAGCAGTTAGCATAATGGCTATGTCGCTGGATTCCCACGTAGTCAACCACGGTTCACGTCCTGGACCCAGTGGCTTAGAACTCACGCCAGGCACATGTGTGTGTGTGCCCAAGATCCCACTGATTTACAAAAATTGCACAAGTTTCTGACTTACTTTCCGATGTTTCATACATCACATATTCTAGTAACATAGCTATAGGCTAGATGTTGGGTTACAGTGAACAATATGCAGTTTGTGGTAACTTAGGGTAGCTTTGTTATAGTGCCAGTGGCTTAGGAAATTGTTAAGATGTCCTTGAGCAATCACTTCAGATAGATGTGCAGGGGATGAAACCGAAACTCCATGTACGTATCTTTTAGGGCCAGTTTTAGCAGATCTCATTTTTTGGACTGCTTTGAACCATTTTCATGAAAATAATTTTGACATCATTGATCCATTGAAAGGGTCTTGGGTTCTGCAGGGATCTTTAGACTATACATCTAAATAAAGGGACCAGACTCAGAGCAATGTGTGCTTTTCACTCTTTGTCCCCCTCCACCCCACCCTACCCCCAAACACACAAGGCACGTGCACTTGCCAGAGAGAGACAGAAAGAGGGAGAGAGGGAAAGTGATAAATCATCTCCCAAGGGGGATGGCCATGCTACAATTCCTTCTCTTCCATTCTCCTCTTGGAATTTTGGACATGCACTTGTATGTGCCCAGTATGATTTTTAAGTCACTGGATCTAGGACGTGAAACACAGTTGGCCATGTGGGAGTCCAGCACCTTAACCACGACACCGCCTGGTGGGCCCCCACTGTGCCATTTTGAGAGGATTTTATTTTGTTTCTCTTCTTGGACAGTGACAGTTGAAACAGCAATTAGCTATGTGGTTATACCATAGGAATTTATTTTATAAGGCGTTTGTTTTGAAATTTAGTTTCAAATTATCTGCTGTAACCCATCTCAATACCAGAATGAAATGAGCCAGAGTTTGCAAGTTTTCAGAGTATTTTACTTTTCAGTGACATCATAATGATTATAATTTTGTTGTTTTAGAAATCCTACTGGCTTGGGGAGCCAACAACAATGAAAAGAGAACAAAGCCCATCTGTTTTACTGCAAACTGATTTTTTTGAAGCTGAACCTGTTGGTTTGGAGGCTGGCATCAAGATCCAACACTTGTATAAGGTACTGTTTTACAAGTCTCTGTTTTTCAGTAGGACCAAATGTTAATTACAATGTATATTAAATGTCACTGACAATACCTACATCGTGCTAGTTAAATATTGTCATCAGCTTGGGACCAGCAGTTAGCGTAATGGCTATGTCCCTGGACTCCCACGTAGGCAACCGCGGTTCACGTCCTGGACCCGGTGGCTTAAAACTCTCGCCGGGCACGTGTGCGTGCATGCCCAAGATCCCAAGAGGAGAATGGAGGAGAAGGGATTGCGGCGTGACCATCCCCCCTGGGGGGTGATTTCTCGCTTTCTGTCTCTCTGTCTCTCTCTGTCTGTCTGGCAAGCGCACGCGTACTATAGCAAAAAACCCTCTAAAAAGAAATGTATATATATATTGCCATCAGCTTGTTGACTCTTTTTGATAAGATAAAAATGGAATATATGCAAATAAACAGATATATGTTTTCTCTGTCCTTTCTTCAGAATAGAATCTAGCCTTGTATAGATGATAATAGTGTCTTCTACCGTATTGCCATTATAAGAGGTAGAATCTATTTGGAACTGTGATTGTGAAAGTAAATAATTAATTTCTGTTCAAATTGCATTTTTGTTTATTTTACAAGCTATGCATTAGAATGCACGCTTATCTGTCCAAGTGTTTGTAGGAAGCTATTAGATATTTCATTTTGTGTGGATAAACTGTAGGCATGTATTAGTCAGATAACCCATATATCTGCTGGCATTCTCTTGCCAGCCAAGAAGGCACTTAAGCTTATATTGAGCCTTTAGTGTACAATTTATGGAAATTAAATCCCTTTTTATGGGACCAGCAGGTGGCGTAATGGCTATGTCGCTGGACTCCCATGTAGTCAACCGTGGTTCAAGTCCCGGACCTGGTGGCTTAAAAACTCATGCTAGGCACATGTGCATGTGTGCCCAAGATCCCGAGAAGAAAATGGAAGAGAAGGGATTGCAGCATGGCCATCCCACCAGGGGGGTGATTTCTCGCTTTCTGTCTCTCTGTCTCTCTCTGTCTTTCTGGTGAGTGCATGCACCCCATTTAACAAAAACCTCTTTTAAAAAAATCACTTTTGAACCAGCAGTTAGCATAATGGCTATGTCGCTGGATTCCCACGTAGTCAACCACGG